GGGAGGGTGGGCTCTGGTAAAGCAGCCAGCCTGGGGTGGCCCTCCCACAGACCCAAGTACCAGACAGCCTATTTAGGATGGGCTGAATGGACGGACAGGCTCACCCAGCAGGTCCACAAGGATCGAGTTGCCCAGCAGCATTGAGAAGCCCATGAGTGCCCAGGGCAGGAATGGCGCCTGGAAGGTGAGGAGGCCGAAGAAGTTGACCCTCATCTGAGGGCTGCGGCGGCTCCATACGTACACCAGCATGGCTGTGAGGGCCTGGCCCAGGAAGAACAGGCTGCCCAGGAACCCCAGCAGCTGGGCCAGAGTCAAGGTGCTGGGAGGCGCTCCCCTGGTGCAGGCTTTAGCCCCAGGCCCCTCTGACCAAAACTTACCCTGCAGTCCCCCCCACTGGTTTCTCTGCCCTCATTACCCCTGTGTCCTACCCTCATCAAGGTGTGCCCTTCCCAATCTGAGGCCACAAGGTGGCCTTCAGGCCCAGGTGAAGAATCTGCCCTGTCTACCTCACCCAGCTTCCCACCAATGCTTGTCCTTGCCCCAGTTTCTCCTGCTGCTGGCATTAAGGGCTCAGCCCCCAGGCACCCCACCTGGCTCTCCTGTACATCACCCCATGGTATTTTTTTGTACAGCCCTTAAGATCTAGCCCTGGTGCCTGGAGCTGAGCACATAAAGATGCTCAATCCATCCTAAACTGTAGTGAACGACTCTATTCCTCCCAAGCCTGGGCACCCATGTGGGGCCTAGCGCCAACACATGCTGAACCAACAGGCACTGCGGCCTGAAGTTTTGAAGTTCGGGAAGGATACAGTCATAAGGATGCCCCCAAAGAGAAACATGAAGACAAAGTCCGCCGTGCGGCCGCGGAAGGAGCCCTCCTCTAGCATGCGGCAGTAGCGGAACCTGAGACATCAGTATAGGAAGTGCCACTGGGCGGAGCCTCAGTTTACCAACACCCAGCCGCCTCAGCCCTCGGGCCCGCCCCATCCCCGCCTGGGTCCGCAGGGCGCAGGATACACGAAGAGCATGTTGAAGAAGAAGCTGAATCCCAGGGGTCCGAAGAAGAGGAAGTTGGTGACGAGCCTCCAGACCTGCGAGGGGCGGGCAGTTAGGCGTGCGTGCGTGCAGGCAGGCGGGGCCGGGACGTCAGGTACAAGGGTGGGGTGGCCTCACCTGCAACTTCCGGAATACGAGGTGCGGGTTGAAGTAGAGCTGGAAGGGGCTTAGGAGCTCCAGCTGCTGCAGAACCAGGGACACGTCAGGGGCTGCCCCAATCCAACCATGGAGGTAACCATGGCGACCCTCCCTCCGGCCTGTAACTATGGCGACGCCCCACCCGCCGGGTCGGCTCACCACAGCAGCGGTGGTGAGGACGCAGGCCGCAGTGTAAGCCCGCGTCACCACTGGCACCTGCAGGAACTCGGCCGTCAGCCCCTGCCACGCCATTGATCCTTCCCAGGCACGCGTGGCCGAAACTCCTGCGCTCTTTAACGCGCTTCCAAGCGCCGCCTTTCCACCTTCGGCCAATCCGCGTCGGAGATGCAGGGAGCGCAGGCTCAGGGGCGGGGCCTTGGTCCAAGTAACCACTAGGGAGAAGAAGCGGGAAGCCGGGGCTGGACGGAAACGTGGGCGGGTCAAGACTCGGGGCCAATGAGCAGCCCCCACGGTTGAGCACGTGGAGGTTGTTGTGATGGTTGTAGTGGCGGCGCGGGAGAATGTGCAGCCAATGAAGAACTGGTCGCTTTGCGACAAGAGAACCAACAGCGAGGACCCACGGGGCCACTGTGGGGGCAGGGCTAAGATTACTGGTTAGGGTAGAAGAGACAAGGAACGGCGAGACTGGAAGGGGCGGGGCATGAGGCGTGGGCGGGGCATGAGGCGTGGGCGGGGCGGGAACTCATAGACTGGCCGTGCGGTTCTGTGGGTCCACATAGGGCTGGCCTGCGACCTGGGGCGGTCCTTCTCCCCTCTGAGAACCAGGGACAGTGCCATCACACCTACAGCAAAGGAGGTGCCCAGCATCCTGTCCAAATCCCTCTGGCACGTCCAAGGCCCCACTGGAACATGTCAGCTCCTGTGAGGAGTCTTCCTGGAGGCCCGCTGGAAGAGGGATTGGGCTGACGACTTGCAGACCCCGTGGAACGCACGGGTGCTGAGGTGGGCCAGAGCAAGTGGATGGGCTGGAGAGGGCCTCGTTATTTTGGTGGGAAAAAGAAACTCCATTGATTCATTCTAATAAAGAAACTCAACCATTTATTGAGTACCAACTGTGTGCTGGGTACTGTTTAGGATGCTGTACATTCAGCAGCCAACCCTATTGGTGTATCTGAGGAGACAGGCAGTCAAAGGTTTGTGCTAACATGAGAACTCGTGTTCACAGAACAGTGCACTGACAGAAATAACACCTAAGTCGGGGAGATGGAGGGTCAGGTAATGGGTCCTGTGCTAGGATGGGGTGATCTGGAAAGCATCTTTGAAGAGGTAATGCTTGATTGTCACTTTTAAAAGATCCCTGTGGCTGCTGTGAGGACAGTAGACTGCCAGAGGAATCAGTGAGCAGGGGGAGGCTGCAAGGGACATTGGTGGGTTGGGCAGAGTGGATTCTGAAGGGCAAAGAGGTGTGGGATGTGGGTTTGCTGGCAGACTGGACAGAGCTGTGAGAGAGGCATCAAGGATGACTTCGAGGCCTGAACCACAGGGTGGATGGAAGGCAGTGGCCTTTTCCGAGATGGAGAACGCTTGGGGAAAAGGCCGGCAGATGGAGTCCTGTTCTGGCCTCATTAAGTTTGGAGTATCTGTGCAACATCCGCCTAGAAAAATCCAAGTGTGGTATTGCAGAGAGAGGTCAGGCAAGTGATCTAAATGTGGGTGTCAGTCATTAGATCAAATGGCATTTGTCCTTGTACCTTTGTGAGATGTCCAAGGGGCAAGACTGGTCTGAGAAGAGGCCAGGCCTGGGCAGCTCAACCTTCATTAGTCAGAGAGAGAAGGCAGACCCAGCTGGGGGAAACTGGGGGGGTGGGAGGGTGGGCAGGAGCTGAGCCAGGAAAGGGCTTCAGGAGGAAGGCAGTGAGAAACCGCAGTAGACATGGTCTGGGAAGGGACTGTGGGATGCAACCATGCTAAGGTTCCTGGTGGCATGGTTCCAGGATAATAGCAGGCATGAGGTTGAGGAAGGTGCCCAGATTGGCGTGTCTTTACTAGTGTGGGAGCTCAGTCTTGGATGTAAGCGTGGAAGATGAGGGGAGGGATGCTCAGGACAGGTCCCTGAGGTCCCCCAGGAGACTGCAATGGGAGAACCAGCTGAGAAAGTTGTCTTAGGTAGATCCCAATAGAATGAGGGACCCGGAAGGAGAGGGGAGGGAGAGGCTAGGAGCACTGAAGGGGGATGTGCGTTGGGTTCAGGAGTGAGGAGACCTAATACAGCAGAAGTTGGACCAAGGCGCTGAGAGGTTGGGTGGTGGGAGCAGGCTGAGGGAGCCCCCTTCAGCCAGTCTTCGTTTTTCAGTGAAGCAGGCCAAGGTCATGTTCAAGGTGGGCTGAGCAGAGTATAGATGCCATCCAGGTGGAGGCTTGGCAGCAGGGCGGGGATCCAAGGCCTCAGACGCCAAGGTGGGGGTGCCTGACTGTCATGGAGCCAGGGAGGGAGGTTGGGTTTCTTGTCTTCGGGGGAAGGGGAGGTATTCCTGCCTCCAGGCACTTAGCAGGCGCTGGCTGGCCCTCCACTCAGGGTCAGGCCAGGGCTAATGGGAGGGGCTGTCATTGTCGACAGGGAAGTCTGTCTCCCTTTCTGCTGGGCTGATAAGGCAGGTGCCCCATTTGGGGGTGGAGAAGCACATTCCTGGGAGGCTGGGAGCCCAGGGTGGGGGCAGCCAGGGAGAGCAAAGACTGGGTTCTACTGCAGAGTCTCCCTTCTCAGAGCCCTGGGGTATCCTCACATAGGGACACTGAGGCCCAGTAGGAGGCAGGGGGGCGCCCGCGGGGGGTCTGAGGTCCAGTCCACAGGCCCAGGATAAGCCATGATAGAGATACCAGGTCCCCTTCTCCTCCGACCCTCAGGCACCTTCAGACATTTATGGAGAAGTGTCCTGGGCACCACACATTCCCAGGGGCCTAGAGACGCAGGTCGGCAGTGTGCTGGATGCTGACATCTATTTAGCAGTCTGTCCTAAGCCCTGCTGGCTGGGCTCACCTCTCTCCTGCGCTGAGGGCTGTAGCAGAAAGGGCCTGTGTTCCCTTGGCAAGGTGACAATGGGCTCTGTTCTCAAGCCACCTCTCTGGCCTTGTGACCCTGCCTTCTGCTGCAGAGCAAGGAGCCCTGGGATCTTCAGGTCTGGAGATACCCAGAGGATGCCCAAATCCCCTGTCCAAGTTCTCCCAGTGCCTACAGACAGGACAGTACCCCCTGAGTGCCCATCAAACCTGCCTTCCTCGTTGGCCTCACACACTGGGAGAGACCCTCACCAGCCTGTGACAATCCAGAAACCTGGGGTTACCCCTGCCCCCCTCTCTCTAGCCCCACATGGAAGCTGATGTTCCCATGGAACTCTCTAGTCCTTTTCCTCCCCTCCAACATACCTCACAACCACTGGCCTCAGCCTCTCACTCCTGGGACCGCCCAGTATCTCATTCATTCATTTCCCTCCCTACCAGCCTAGATGCTCTGTTAAAAGAAGGGAGGGTGGTGTAAATGCCCCCTACTTCAGGAAGCCCTCCCTAAAGGGACCAGAGCTTACTGATCTTCTGTTAGGGTCCCACACACTTAATTTTTAAATGTATTTTATTCCAAAAGCAATACAAATCTGTGGTAACAAATTGGAAGAATCAAAAACAAGTTGTTTTTGTGTACATGCCGGAGGCAGCTGTGTTTTCCTTTTGACAACACGTGATACCCCTGGTTAGCCCTCAGCATTCTTGGTTGGGGGGCTTTTCTCAGGTGCTGTGAGCTCAGTGCCCACCCCGTTCCAGCACATGGACCACTCCCCAAACCGCAGTGGGTGGGCTCCACGCAGCTCCAGCCAGCCCCTCCCAGGAGCAGCTGTGTCCCTGTTGGCCCTTCCTGTCTGGGTCATGGGGTATTTTTAGCACCAAATCCGGAACCCACTCGGCAGCAGCTGCTCATGGCCTGAGTGCAAGAATAACAAACCGTCCAGGTGGGCTGCATCAGGCCTGGGCAGCAGAGGGAAGGACCTGGGCCTGGCCCTCTGAGCCTGGTAGCACAATCCGGACTTGCTAGAAATTAGCAGGTCTCAGTGAGGTGGGCAGGGAGGAGGCAGTGCGGGGCAGAGGCTGAGTAGGCATTAGCCAAACACAACAGGGAAATAGCCTATGCAAAGGTCCTGAGGTGGCATGGAGGAACAGAGGGAAGGCAGGGTCAAGGAGGAGGAGCTGCATGGGATGTTTGGGTGGAGAGGGCTGGGGCCAGCCCAATCAGGGCCATGAGGGCTGTGGTGTTGTGTCCCAAGGGCAGCAGGAAGCCACAGGAGAGTTTCTAGCATGGTGGTGAGGTTAGGATTAGATGGCAGCTCTTTGGAAGAAGAAAGGGACAAGAGTATAGGCAATGGTCAGAGCGGAGGAGGATGACAGTGGCCTGCAGTGGCAGGCTTGTGATGGAGGAGTGCATGGGTCAAGGAGATGGAAGCCACAGACCTTAGTGAGCACTTGACAGATGGGAAAGGGCCAGGCTTGAGAGGAAGACCACCCATTGGTTTGGGATAGGCCGAGTTTGGGGTGCTATGAGGACATGACCACCTCAGGGAAGCCCTCCCTGGCCACCCCAGCCTAGTCCTCCCAGCTCCTTGCCCTCTGTGGCGCTTGTCACCCCCACAGAAGCTCTACAACATGCTCTCTCTATCCCTGGTGTCTGCTGCAGTGCCAGTCACAGGCAGGCCTCAGACCTGGACTCCAGGGCCGGATCTGCAGCCTTAGGCTGGCAGTGGGGCCTGGCCACTCCCTTCCCCACTCCTTCCTGGCTGCAGTGTCCCTGTCTGTGAAATGGGCCGGTTGGAAGAGTCCACCTGTAGTTTCCTCCAGCTCCAAGGCTGTCTACGGTGGGGACGTCCAAGATTTCCGGGCAGGTGCCCCTTCCTGTGACAGTCGTGGCTGGCCTTCCCCTCCAACGCCGGTCCCTGCTGTGAATGCTGAAGGAAGGGCTCTCTCCCAGCCTGTGTCCTTGCCTGCCTCCTAATCTGGAGTTCTCACATGCCTGTGGTCAGGAACATCCATGGAAGCCTGAAGGACATGGAAGGGAGGCGATGGGGCCCCGTCCCACAGGAGTTTTCCCTCTGGCTAGGGAGACTCAGACTCACACTAAGCAGGGAGGGGAGCTTGACCGGTAAGCGGCCCAAGGACAAAGAGCCATGGGCCCTCTGAGGGGCTGCGAGGCAGGAGGGGTCTTGGCAAAGACAGTGGTGAAACGGAAAGAGGAAAGAACACACTAGGCAGGGAGAAAGGCTTGCGCAAAGGTGCAGAGGCAGGAATGAACTCATTTCATGGGTGAGGAAGGACCACTGTGGAGTGGGGCTGCTCAGAGCACAGGTTGGAGCCAGTCCCTATGGTGATGAAAGCTGCTCAGTGACCTCTCACCAGACTCTGCACCACGAGTTTTACTAATCTCTTAAGCCTCAC